ATGAATAAATTTATGAGGAAAAAAAGAAGAAAGAGAAAGATAAAAGGGAGCGTGAGAGTCACGCGCTGAAAGATGAGGTTGGAGTAGAAGAGTTGCCATGCAAAACGTGACCCTTTGGTTGAAATACGTGGCACGGAAAAAGACGCTTTAAATTGATTTTAAAATTTCAACCATCCATTGTTCGACACGTGGTAGTCTATGGCCTTTCTTTACCTCTCTTTAAAACGGCGTCGTTTTGAGCGGCCACCCATTTTTATTTATTAATTATTTTCATGTTTTTTTTCTCAATATTTTTCAAACTTAAAAAAAATCTCATTTTGGTATTATAAAATAAATTAAAATGGTAAATAGAATATTAAAACTTCGTTTAAGCACTAATTTTACAGAAATATTTTTTTAAATTTTAATTAAAAAAATTTAATATTTTCTCACAAATAAAATAAATAATCATGATAAAACAAATATAATTTTTAAAAATGAATATAAAAAAATTAATTTTATAATGTGAAAACAAATTAGAATATATGGATTCTCTTTATTTTTATCTCTTTTTTTTTCATCTTTCTATCATTACTCTATCTCGTTTTTTCAAAAAACGTGATTATTTATAAAGTTTTGTATATAAGAAAATTAAAAAGCGAAGAATAATACTTTTCTTTATCAAAGATGACGTAGAATCCGATTCCTAATTGATGTGGGTTCTCACAATTCATACAAACAATAGTACGGAAACCTTTTTTCCTAACAGAAGCGTTTTAAAATTAGGACACTACCGACAATACTTAACTTGACAAATCAGACAATATTTGACAAATTTAAGTTGTTACAAATAGTATTAGAGTCAGACACAGGAGCAGTGTGCTAGCAACGGCACTCGACCCGAAAAGGTGGATTGTGAGAACTCACATCGATGGTCCTTACAAGAGTGTGGAAACTTGTGAGGCCGACGACGATATGTAGTGGGTCAAATCATACATTATATGTTAGCGATAGACTTTGGCTATCACATTAATAGTCCTAATGAATCGATAGAATTCCTGTAAATAGTCTCTATTGTAGAAATATTCTGTCAATGGTGGTAAATTTTAAAAAAATTATCATTATCTAGAGCTTCCCGACCCAAGGTTTATTTGCTCCAACCTATCGGTTCACTCGGAGTTTAAAGGACATGAGATTTCTGCGTCTCAATCCTACCACTTCGAAGAAAGCAGGGATAGTTGCAGTCGCATTCGATGGAGAGTCTGATACCATTTTTCAAATAAGAAGGTTGGGAAAGATAGAGTGCCTAGAGTAGACTGAGCGAGACAAGAGCCTAATGCTTTGAGCTTTCGGGCAGACTTGCCTTGGTCCAATCCCGAGCAGTTCACTGACCTATCACTGTAAATAAGTTAGGGAATTTTAGACCTTGTGACCTCTATGGCATTCCTGACACCTGTTCTCGTATTCGTCTAATAATCGAAAAAGCTCCAAAACCTCATCAGGTATTATTAAAAAAAAAATTTAAAAATTAGGAGTATTATTTTTTTATATTTATTTATGATAATAATTTTTTTACAATAAAATCTCATAAAATTTTGGTAGGTGAAATGACACGTTGCACAATAGGTCAAGCGAGTAGAAACCTTCCCTACTCGCGCGAGTAGCGTTTATCCTTTTGTATATTTCAATTACTTTTTTTGCCATTAAACAAGCGTGTAAGAATCGGATGCTAAAATAAGGCAACAGGCTTTTTCACCATCTCATTATCTCGCTTATCATACCGTGATACGTGATTTTATCATATCGTCAATATATCGCGATAAAAACAGCCATGTGTCTATTCCGCATGACACTTATTTTTAAACGGTTCTAATCAGACCATTTCGTATTTATCTAGAATGACGGGAGAGTGTTATTGTCTACATTCGTGTCTATTTTAACATAGAGTGAGACTTACCTAATCCATTAAAATAATAAATTATTTATCTGTACAGTTAATCAAAATAATCTAATATTTTATTCAGTTCAACAATGTCGAGAGTGAAGATTAAATCATGACGTTTTAGTCGAAGAAATATGTTTTAGTTATAGCTGATTTTGAACATTAGATATCGTAACGTATTAAGCTAAGCTATGGTCGATGGATGTGCATTTATTTTATTTTATTTTATTTTTCTAATAATTAAAGGAAAAAAGAAATAGTTTACTTGAAATTTTATTTAAATTTATAAAAATAGTGATAGAGATGAATTGTGAAAATAGGAAATTTCAAATTTAATTTATTAGTTGAATGGTTAAATATTATAAAATTTTCAAATAAAAAATGTAAAAAAGATAATAAAATAAGAAAAGGGTTTAATTTAATTGAAATTAAAATTAAAATTTAAAAGAAATAAGGAGGAATATAAAAAAAGCCATTAAATAATAATTTTTAAAAAATTAAATAATACTTTTTGAAAGAATACTTTTAGTAAAAATGACATTTTCTTTAATAATTACATTAGTATTATTATTATTATTATTATCATTTTTTAATGACTATAAATTTACAAATGAGGTAAAAAAAGTGAATCTTTGTCAGGTGGGACCCAATAAATATTAATTAATTAATTTTAATAATTTTTTAATTTATAAATTTCTTTCAATAATTTGAGAAGAATGATTCTTATTTTAGTCATAAAAAATATAAAATTCTAAATAGGCCCCAAATCCAGATTCATAATTAATTACACTTTTTGTTAAATACAACTAATTAATTAAATTATGGTAATTAGTAGATACAATTAATTATTTCCAAATATAATTTTTTAAAATAAGTGATAATTAATAGATTAAAAAATTGCTAATAAATTTGCACTTTTATCATTTTTTTAAAATAAAAAATAAAAAAGGAAAGGGATGTTTTTAATTTTGCATTATTATTTTCAACAAAGAAGTTTCTAGGATGTTTACACGTGTTCTATTCTTTTTTTAATATATATTTTTTATAATATATATATATATATATATTCTTTAATAATGAAAAATCCACAATATATTTTAATCAATCAAATGTCATAATAATATTAATATATTCAATTTCAAATGTCAACTTAATAGTATAATCTATTTGATAAGATTGTCATAATAATAAAATAAAATAAAGATAAGTGAAATAATAATTTAATAAAATTTTTATTTTTTTAATTTAATTTGTAAAATTTTTAAATTTTGGCGTGACTCATTAAATACAAATTGAAAGTTTGGGGACTTTTTAAATATTTTTGAAAGATTAGGACAAAATAGAAGTAAATCTCGAAGTTTAGAAATTAAACCTCTAATTTAAACTTTAAAATATATGTTATAATTTGTAAAAATCATGCAACCACGCTTAGTTCGAGTTCTAGGAGCATTACGAAAGGCTAGTAGCAGTGGTTTCTCATTCCCTATTTTTCAACTTTATCTGTTTTCATATAACTAGATGACTCGAACAACTTTAAATTTTCATTTTTTATTTTCCAACTCTACCCGTGTCTATATGACTAGATGACTCGAACAATTTTAGATCCTCGATTTCCATTTTTCAACCTTACTCGTGTTCATATGACTAGATAACTCAAACAACTTGAGTTACTGTGATGTCCTAGATTGGTTGGGGAAGAGAACAAAACACCCTTATAAGGGTGTGGAAACCTTCCCCTAGTAGACACGTTTTAAAGCTTTGAGAGAAAGCCCGAAAGGGAAAGCTAAAGGAGGATAATAACTGCTAGCAGAGGATCTAAGGCGTTATAAATAGTACCAGAGCCAGACACCGGACTATGTGCCAACGAGGAGACTGTTCCCCAAAGGGGTAGACACGAGACGGTGTACCAGTAAGGACGTTGGGCCCCAAAAAGGGGTGGGAGGAGACTGTTCCCCAAAGGGGATAGACATGAGATAGTGTACCAGGACGCTAGGCCCCAAAGTGGGGTGAATTTGATGGGGTCTCACATCGATTAGAAAAAGGAAAGAGTGAGGAGGCTATTCCCCAAAGGGGGTAGACACGAGACGGTGTACCAATAAGAACGTTGGTCCCCAAAGTGGGGTGGGAGGAGACTGTTCCCCAAAGGGGATAGACATGAGACGGTGTACCAGTAAGGAGGCTAGGCCCCAAAGCGGGGTGAATTTGATGGGGTCCCACATCGATTCGAAAAAAGAAAGAGTGCCAACAAGTATGCTAGTTGGAGAGAAGAAAAAATCGATTTGGTTTGACTCCCGAGTAAAAATATTTTTTTGTTAGGTTAATCTGACCACCAAAAAAGTGTGAACGTATGTGGTTCACAGTCAAATACCTAGACAAAAAAATTATTCTATAGGAGCGCACGTGTGAGTGGACACGATACATTTAAGGCCAAAGAAATGTATTGACCCAATGAAGAGAGCCCCAAGACCCACTCTTGTGATTTTTAAATTTTTTAATTTTATTTCTTTTTAAAGTATAAATTATTTCATAGGAATTACCCATTATTATATTATATTTCACATAATCTCTATTATATCTTCTTTATTTTAAATATTTTTTATATTATATGCTTTTTCTATTTAATTCAATTTTTTTTATAAACAATCTTTAACTGCTAATAGATCTCACGTCATTCATAAATAATGCTGATAACAATATCTAATACAATCAGGAACGTATTTCCAAGATGAAATGGTAAATTTCATCGTAAACTCCTATAAACATAAAGAACTAAAACGTGTCCCGTAATTCTGATGCAAAGATTGTGGCATTGACATCATAATTATCTTTATTGTCGGAGTTAGGAAGTTGATTAAGACTTTTGATCCTCGCTATATAAACATAATATATAAATAGAGAAAGACAAAAAAAAAAAAAAAAAAAAATTGGTTTGCTTTGATAATAAGCAAAGTGGGTGGGGTTTGTGACTTTCATGACATGTTTTGTCCCTTTCATTTATTTAAACTAATCAACTTACTCTTAATTTAGTGCATAACCCTTAATGTTAAAAAAGGAATAAATAAATAAATAAAAACAAAGCGATGGAAAAGGACACTTTGAAAAGTCCATCTTGGATTATATCATTCACACGTACAAGATTCTTTCTTTCTTTCTATTCTTCTCTACTTTTCCCTTTTTTTTTTTTTTTCTCTTTTTGTTTGAGGGGTCGAGATATTGGATAATGAACTCCTTGCCTTGTCCTGAAATGAGAGGGAAGGTCGGTTTAACTCGAGTCTTGTACTGTTTGAAAGAGAGTAAAACGACCTGAAAGTCCAAGAACTAATCAAGAACCACCAACTTGATTGATAGACATAACTTTTTATAGCTGTTTTATAGTCGTGCAAATATGCCCTTCAGCTTAAAATAAGGGTTGAGGATGAAGTTTCTATTTGCAGAGAAAGAAAATATAGTTAGATCCGTGTACGAATTTTAATTGTAAAGACATAATTCCATATGGCTGAACTCTTAATTTGAGTGACTATTGAAACCAATATTTGATGAGGTTTAGCATTTCTTCAACTATTTAGATCTCAACAACCATATAAGTTACATATTTACGAATAATCCTATAACAACCCGAACCCACGACAAGTTAACATTGTCTTTTTTGGAATTTCCATTTTGAGCTTCCCTTCAAGGTTTTTAAAACATGTCTGATAGGGAGAGATTTCCATATCATTATAAATAATATTTCGTTCCCCTCTCCAACCGATGTGAGATTTCACAATTCACCCCCTTCGTAAACCAGTATCCTCACTCGCACTTGTTCCGATGTATCCAAAGAGGATAATATCTGCTAGCGGTGGGCTTGAACTGTTCCAAATGATACAGAGCCAATCACCGGATGATGCAAAGTACTAGTCGAAGTAAAGCTAGACCATTTACATAGTAGACACGTTTTAAAATTTTGAAGGAAAGCTCAAAAGGAAAAGCCTAAAAAGAACCGGCTTGAACTATTACAAATTCAATGAAACTAAAACTACTAGATATGTGACTATGATTATGATGCATAGAGATGGAAGGGTAGAGTCAATAATATAGCATAAAGAGAGCAAACTGTGTGCCTTTCAAAGAGTTCAAATATTCCCAAGAAAAGAAAAAGAAAAAGAAACAGCAAACAGAAACAGAATCAGAGGGGGGCTGTTTTGAAGGGTTTGATTTGAGAATGATTGCAATTTTTGGGTTCCAACTTTAACAGAGAGGGAATCTCAGCTTAGAAAAAGAAAGATGGGTATGTGATTGTGGAATTAGTGGGAAAAAGTGGAAGGGAATCACAGCCTCTAAGAGGCCCAAATGTGTCAAAATCCTTTCATTTCTATGCTTTGGAATTTGTGCTCTTATTGGGTAAAAGCTGCCATCTGTTTCTTTTTGTTAGTGTTCAGTTCTAGGTGTTGGATGATGAAAGTCCCACATCGGTTAATTTAGGGAATGGTCATGGGTTTATAATCTAAGAATACACTCTTCATTGGTATGAGGCCTTTTGGGAAGCCCAAAGCAAAGCCATGAGAGCTTATGCTCAAAGTGGACAATATCATACCATTGTGGAGAGTCGTGTTCATCTAACACTAGGAACAGTAAAAAACTTCATTTTTACTCCGCTCGTAATTTTCTATGGACTCTCAATGTTTGGGTGTTTTCTAAAAGCTTTCAATGAAGTTCTTAAGTAAATTAACAGAACTTTTCATAGTAACATTTTGTTATACAAGAATAAAACTTCCTCTGTTTTTTTTTTGCTTTTTGCAATCTAAATTATGGAATCCATGAAGGAGGTTCTGTCCAAGGCATGATGGAATCCTATCCCAACAAACACTATTTCTTTGATTTAGAGAACTGTTGGGCAGAGGGAGGTACAAAACATAGTGGGAAAGGAAAAGAATGGGTAGCCATCTCATAGCAGAAAAGGAAAAAATAGAGTTATAATTGAGCAATATTTGAACATAGTGGCAGCTGTTCTTGTATAATCAGACCACATTTATAATTGGTTTTCCAAACTTTTAATTTTTCGTCTAATAGGTTTTGTGACATATACGACATTTTTTAAATTAACCGATCGTTTATATACAAATCTGTATAGTTAAGTTTTTATTATGTACAATTTAATTTTATGTCTAATAGATCGGTTGGTTTAAAAGAATATTGATTATGTTAGGAACTTTACCCAACATGATTGAAAGTTTAGGGGTTTTTAAAATTAGCCTATTTGATATAAAACTAAGAGTTTAGACGTGGCAGCGTAAACCTACTACTAACAGATATTGTCTTTAGGCTTTCTCCTCAAGGTTTTTAATGCTATGGAGAGGTTTCCATACCCTACCCTTATAAAGAATGCTCTATTCCACCTCTTCAATCGATGTGGGATCTCACAGTTTACCCCCTTCGAGGCTCAATGTCCTCGCTGACACTCGTTCCCCTCTTCAATCAATGTAGGATCTCACAATCCACCCATCTTTAGGGCCCAACGTCCTCGCTGACACACCGTCTAGTGTCTAGCTCTGATACCATTTGTAACCGTCTAAGCCCACCGCTAATAGATATTGTCCTATTTGGGCGTCCCCTCAAGGTTTTTAAAATGCGTCTACTAGTGAGAGGTTTCCACACCCTTATAAAAAATGTTTCATTCCCCTCCCCTCCCCTCCCCAACTGACGTGAGACTCACGTTAAAGATTTATCCCCATTGCTTTCATATTTGACTAGTAAACTGCAGCTCACACCAAATTTTAACTTAAAAAATTAAAAGTACCATAAAATGATGAATATTTGTTTTTACGAAGAGATGAAGAAACAACCCGACCCTCTTATGATATGCCTACTCAGTTCAGAAACAAGAGTTTGTAAGGAGTGTGCGTGTACATGATGGAGAAGCAGGCAGGCAGGTGCAAAAGGGAAAAAATCATAGTGATTAGGGAAGAACAGTAGCTAAATGGATATGGAATCTTTACGAGCGCCTGCAAGTAGAAAAATGGATAGAGAAATGGCAGAAAAATGTGGGCAATCATATCAGTCTCTTCTGTCTCAGTAACAATGCCAAGGAACACTTCAATTATTTTTCTTCTCAAATTTGTACCTCAAAAAGATGACCCAATTGGCTGGTTGCTTCTCTAGCAAAAGCTGCATTGTTTTTCTTTGAGTGGCTCCTTACGAAAGCTTGTTAAATACTTAAAGCTTCCTCCAGATAGTAGGTAGTACCTTCCTTCACATGACCCACAATAAAAATGAAAGGGTCCGAAAGTATTGTTATTGTGAGATCCCACATTGGTTGGAGAGGAAAACGAAACATTATTTATAAGGGTGTGAAAACTTCTTGCTAGCAGACGCGTTTTTAAAATTACGAGGGGAAGCCTGAAAGAGAGTCCAAAGAAGATAATATTTGATAGTGGTGAGCTTAGGCAATTAGAGCTAAACACTGGGCAATGTGACAGAAAAGAGACTGAGCCCTGAAAAGGGGGTGGACACGAGGCGGTGTGCCAGCAAGGACACTGGGCCCTAAAGGGGGTTGGATTGAGGGGAGAGTCCCATATCGATTGGAGAAGGGAATGAGTGGCCCTAAAGGAGGTGGATGGTGAGATCCCACATTGGTTGGGGAGAAGAACGAAACATTCTTTATAAGGGTGTGAAAATCTCTCCCTAGTAAACGAGTTTTAAAAACCTTGAGGAGAAGCCCAAAAGAAAAAGTCCAAAATCTACTAGCGGTGGGTTTGGGTTCTTACTGAACTTCTGCCTTTTTGAAACTATGTAAAAATTATTATTTTAGCAACTAGGCTCAATAATAATATACTAAGAAGGGAGAGAGAAATACCTGTCTTGATTGAGAAGCAGGCAGATATGCTTTTAGCAAACCAGGGCCCTCACGTCAATCCACCAGCTCAAATAACGTAATGATGATGCATGCATGACCCAACAATGCAACATCCTGCGAGTAATATGTGACAGTGCTGGGTGCCTATTTTGCTGTCATATATATAGAAATCTAATCATATGAGTTATCATTACAACCTGTAAGTGTATTGTCACCAACCTGAAAGAGGAAAAAAGAGTGATGGAGGAAAGTAAAGCGATGAAGCAACAGGCAAAGAAAAATTTATGGAAACCAGAAGAAGATTTGATCCTCAGAAACTATGTGGAAACTCATGGTGAAGGGAATTGGGCAACTGTCTCCCAGGAGTCAGGTAAAAGAAAAATTACCTCACAACTATCTATTATCGATCGATATCAAATACGCACACAGACATTTCTATATCGGCTCTGATTCATCTTTCACATAACTCTAACACAGACAGTGAGACAAAGATGTCCGGGTTTTTTTTTTTTTTTTTTTGCATTTATGTGGTGCATGTGTGTATGTGTTCCTAACCTGGTCTCTCAGGTTTGATGCGAGGTGGGAAAAGCTGCAGACTAAGATGGAAGAATTACCTCCGTCCCAATATAAAGCGTGGGGGCATGTCCAAAGAGGAAGAGGACCTAATTATCCGTATGCATAAACTTTTAGGCAACAGGTCGGTTTGTATCGAATTAATCTCCAAAGCTTAATCAATACTTATAGTAAAAAGAGTAAACTGACTGAATGTTTGGATATTTCAACGGTGTTACTTCTTCCATCAGATGGTCATTGATTGCTGGTCGGCTTCCTGGTCGAACTGATAATGAGGTGAAGAACTACTGGAATACCCATTTGAACAAGAATGGCCTGCAAGATAAAAGAAAAGTTAATGAATCAAACAGCTGCAAGAAAATGGATGAGGACGACGGGAATAATAAGAAGCAGAAGAAAGTTATCAACCAGACTAGCTATCCTCAACCGCAAATGTGCAGTGACAATGGGGCAAATCAGGCACATGATATACAGAGAAGGAGCCAGGAAGAGAACAGAGAAGTTACAGATCTTTGGAATATGGATGACATAACAAGTTATTATAATATAAACTGCCCAATGGTACCTGCAAATAACGCGACTTTTAACTTCGACGATGAGCCTTACTATAACCACCTTGATCCCTTCTTCCTGATTGAAGCATTTGGATGCAGTAGTGTTGATGCATCACTGGAGAACATGTGACTTGTAGTTCTTTAGGTTTTGAGAAACCCCATGTTCAGGTAGGCTTTTATTGTCAAAATCCTTATTCTTTTTCACCCAGTAAGATGGCAAATTGTGCCATTGGACTATCAGTGCTTGTTAATCAAGAAGAAATGGAATTAATATCACAAGACTTCATCTTGTTGAACGTAATATGAGCTATCATCCAGTGGTAATGAGGATGGGGTACCAGGAGGGATGTTAGCAGCACCATTCTCTCCTGAACACACACATAAAGCTTCTGTATCCCTGATGGCAGCGTCGAGGTCAACGTGGCCACTCAACTCATTGATAAACTTCAAGAGCGTGTCGAAGTCCATCTGCTCCCCCATTATTTTGTTACGGTAGCGCTTCAAGATCGCAACACAAATGTATAGATGTAGGTGCTCAGACAGATAATGAGTCCACAAGATCTCCCATAGATGCATAACCTTTCCGTATTCAAATTCTCTGTATGTGAATCTAATCAGCAAGGTAATTAATAGAAAGAACACATGAGAAACTAATTCACTATAAAAAATGTGCTTTGGCATAAAACGACGTACACGACGATTAAAATGATAATAAACATCAGCATATAGGAGAACTCAAAACAAATTTCAGAAGTATAAAATTGGCCTACCATACAAAGCGGTGGCACAAAGTTGGGGTGGCTTGTCCCTTCTATAGGAGGGTGTTAGATGAACACGACTCTCCACAATGATATGATATTGTCCACTTTGAGCATAAGCTCTTCCTTTGGGCTTCACCAAAAGGCCTCACTCCAATATGAAGATAGTATTCCTTGATTATAAACCCATGATCATTCCCTAAATTAGCCGATGTGAGACTTTCATCCAACATATTCAATCACAACTATTACCTTGCCCTATAGCCATGGAAATGATAACTATAATCTTGGCTATTATGAGTTTCTGAAATGTCAAATTTCCTAGGGCATCTGAGTAGTATACCTACACATCCATCTCAATAACATCACATATAATTTGTTGTTTTCCAGATGGTGATAATTTGTTGCTGGAGTATGGCGACGGATAGACCTCGCTTCAGTGACCAACACTGCTCTAATGGAGTACAGATTTCTATCTACATTTAAGAAATGCACAGACAAGAAATTCATAGAAAGAAGAGAATGGAAACTACCTCTCTCCGATAATTTCGCATTTGAGTTTTGTCCTTCGTAAGGAATCCATGTCTACAATCAAAAACAACAACACCGACTCCGCGTCAACACAAGAAACATATCCAGTGATGCATGAACATCAAAATACAGATTTCTCATTCCAAATAAACAAGAAATCCTGATTAATGGTGCTTACAATGAACAGAGACGATTCTCGCTTGATCAACCTCAATCTTCCACGAATCCTTTCAGACGCAAACTGCGTAGGCTGAATCGTTACATTTTCTTTCGAATAAACAATCTCAGCACCTTCCGGTTGCCTCGATGAGCTTCCTCGACCGCTATCGGTGCGCATCATGCCTGCAGAACTCTAAACAAAATGAAAAACAGAAATAAGATGATTTGGAAAATTTTCTAGTATAATGAGTACTTCATCCTCCGCCCTTTCCCGCGCACACTATCTCACTCTCCTACACAACCCTCGCAGTTACAATGTGGTTAGCATCTCAATATCGTTGTAATGAACAAAAAAATTATAGTTCTACAATTTTTGAACATCTGTTCCCACTCATACTTTTCTTATTTCAATCCTAAGATGATACTTAGTGGCCCAATGAACTTCTTATCGTGATCACGTTCGGTAGTTGATGGATGGAATGTTCTTGTTCTTACATCATCGCCATTAGTTCTATTTTCAATCAACTTTCTTCGTTCGATTCGATGGTTCAATTCTTCACTTCAAAGATAGTAATAGAGAGGACAATTTCGGTCAAACATTCTCATTTGAGTAGGAAATGGGAAGAACAAAACATGTTTGCCATGAGTGGAGCATGCACATGCTCTCTCATAATAACTATTTTTGGATTGTTAGAACTAAAAGAAGAGTAAATTATATACCAAAGTAAGACTCTTCTTAATCTAGAATCGAAAAAAGAAAAAAGCTATGAGAGAATCTATAATAGCTCGAACCACTGTTAATAGATATTGTCAGCTTTAATCTGTTACGCATCATTGTTAACTTCACTGTTTACAAATGTGTCTTCCCTCTCCAATCGATGTGGGATCTCACATTTCATCCCGTGGAAGGCAGTGTCACTAGCTTTGATTCCATTTAACATATGTTACGTATCGCCACAAGACTCACGATTGTAAAACGCGTTTGTTCGGGAGAGGTTTCCACGTGCTTGTAAGAAATGATCTATTCCCCTCTCCAACCGATGTGGGATCTCACATTTCATCCCCTGGAAGGCAGTGTCACTAGCTTTGATTCCGTTTAACATATGTTACGTATCGCCACAAGACTCACGATTGTAAAACGCGTTTGTTCGGGAGAGGTTTCCACGTGCTTGTAAGAAATGATCTATTCCCCTCTCCAACCGATGTGGGATCTCACCGGATGTTTCTCGATCGGGGCGTGCAAAAGTTATCGACTCAAATGATGAAAAAGGGTGTTTTTGTAATTCTCTAGAACAAAAGGAAAAGAAATAAAAGGTAAAGGAAATCATAGGCCACACCCTAGGACAATGTCTCCTTAGTGCATGGCCAAAGGTTGGCCTTCTCTTTATAGCATGGGCCTTCACCTCCATACCCTTTCATTGTTTTTTTCTTTCTTTACCATGAAGTTGTCTTCTTCAAGGGCAACATTTCAATCTTTTTACAAGACTATAATATAGGGGACAAGCCAAAACACGATAAACCAGACTTGGTCGGTCCGGTCAACTTTCGTTACCATAGTTTTTCAAAATATTGATCGGGACTCAATTTTTCATCAAGTTTAAAAAATGACGTATCTAGGGTTTCACATTGTTCGGTCATTAATTCAATGCTACATGGTTTTTCCTTCTTAATTTCCTCTCTAATGCTATTTCTTGTATATATTCAATGAGTCTAGCTTGAGTTCTCGACTAATCCAGCACTTTCAACACTTTGTGTGTTATCCCACATTGGTTGGAGAGGAGAACGAAACACCCTTTATAACTTTATAAGGGTGTGAAAACCTTTCCCTAGCAGACGCGTTTTAAAGTCTTGAGGGAAGCATAACAGAGAAAGTCCAAAGATGACAATATCAGTTAGTGGTGGGGAGGCAAAGTCGAGTTACAAGCAATTTGTTCGATTCAACTTAATAAATTATAAAATTTTAAGTGTTCATTTTGATATCCAATTTGAGCGATTTTAAGAACGTGATAATGAATTTGTTTAAAGAAAATAATTGAAGAGAATGCACCAATTAAATAAGTCTATTTAGTATATAGTTTAGTGGAAATAAAAACTTTGCAAAAAATTTAAAAGTGTGACAAAATTAAAACCAAAACTTTATATGATTATTTTTATAACTAATTATTGGATATAATATAAAGTTAAATTTCTGACCCATTTCATTTATATTTGTCGGTAAATTTGAAGGAAAAAATGTTCCAAAGAGATGAGCTCTTTAAATCATTGCAATAAAAACACATTAAATGATGGGCTCTAAGCTTTTTTTTTTTCTTTTTTTTTTTTTAAATTATGAATTTAAACATTTCAAAATTTTTATTAGGTTCATTTTCTCGCTAAATTCACGGGCTAGTTTTAACGACAACAATCAGTTCTGTTCAAAATGAGGTTTGATTAAGGCACATTATCGATGATTGAATAAATTCTTCCAAACCCAGAAATTTAAACAGAATTCTAACTTTAGAGTCGTTTAAAAAAACGTGCATAATGAGTTTCGTACTAAATATGTGTTTATAGGTGTAAAAAAAATGAACTAAAAAACCCTATTTGAAGAATAATATTCCTAAATGTCGTGCAAAATTAAGTTGGATAAAATCTAACTTTGGAGTCGTTTTTTTAAAAAACGTGCATAATCGGGATCGTACTAAATATATGTTTATATGAGTGTAAGAAAATGGACTAAAAAGCCCTATCAAGTAAGGATCGGGAACGGCAACGTCTCAAAGCTCTGTACCATCGTCATCTCTAACTCTAATTTAACCAAAATATAAAACCGAAAATATCGAAGTTATATATATATATAAAGTGCATAAATGAGGGAATGAAAAGAGATGGTGGGGAGGCAAAGGGGTCCCAAAGCCTGCAAGCTTGAGAACCAAAAAGAAACTCTACTTTGTGTGTGTTTTGAAACATGGATGGATCCTCATTTCCCCTCTCTTTTTGGGTACTTATAAAGCAAGGGAATTAAGAACGAGAGTGATTAAGAGCGACGTTGGTTCAGTTCGATTTGAAGGTCGAGCGAGCGTTATTTTGTAAGGCAATTAAGAAGGAAGTTAAAGATTCATAGAGTGATTACGAGCGATGTTGGTGCAGTTCAATCTGAAGTCCGAGTTTTGTTTTATTTGAAAATTCTGTCTCGGATTGAGCCGCGCCAATATCACTTCATTCTTTCAGTTCGAGTCTTTTCTTTGTTTTGGTTTGTAGGGTTTTTATCGTTTGATCTTTTTTCAATCGTGCATGCATGTTTCAATATACGTAAGGTTGCATCATTTTTAAGTTAAAATGTTCTACCTCTCCCCCTAACTAAACTCTCGTGTTCAAAGAGCTGAAGTTGTTTTTTTTTAGTTTAATAAGTGGAATGGTATAGACACTTCCATTGAATAACTTTCTCTTTTGGTCAAAAGTAAAATTAAAAACAAGACGTTAATTTATGATGATTTAACAATTTAGTTATCTATGTTGCGTGGCCGATCCTAACGTTGATATTTTTGCAAAGAGAAGCATGGCTTTCAGGTTGTGGTCTCTGACGTTGATATTTTTGCAGAGAGAAGCGTGGTTTTCAAGTTGTGGTCTCAGTTGGTGGCATTAACAAAATATATGGCTTCATAAGACAAGACTTGCAGTATGACATTGTGGTACATTTCAATAACGCAGTGTCATGATCTTGACACGCTCATGACAAATTTTAAGGAGAATCCAAATCCGTATACATTTTCCCATAAATTGTGACACAAGGCACTTCGAGGAGAGTAAAATCATTTGAATGACAGATAATTTTGTATGATTGAATATACTGAGATAAAAATAAAATTTTTATTTTAACTAAGCATAGATAGAGATGTCCACGTGGGGTTGGAGTCGAGGACGGGAATGGGAAATGTAGTCTCTATCTCCAGTCCCATTTAGCTAACCGAGAAAAACCTTTTTCCCTCCCTCCTTCCTTCCCTATTTAAATAAAGATTTTTCACTCGATAATTAAATGATCATCTTATTAGAAATGGATTTATATAAAATATACCACTCGACCCAAATAATTGAATTCTCCAAGTTCTAGTAAGAGCTATATCAAAATTCAACTTTATTTTTCTTATATCTATCGATATCCAAGTAAACGGTCAACTCGAGCTCAACTTGCCTTTTCTGACTAAACAATCATCTACTAGCTACATTCGATTGTTATAGTAACTCATAGGATATTAAATTCTAAGTAAACAACACCATAAATTGAACGTATTCTCTCTAAGTAAAGTTGTATGAACGAACGTTACGACCCAATGGATAATATCAGAAATTGCAGATGCTAGCCAGCAATATAAACGTACACAACAATCACAAACACAATGGCCAATAATTCCAAACTCAGAGCAATTGACATTCTTGAGTTACCACAAGGCTGCAAATGACGATCTTAAGATTGCATCTATGACAGCACAGAACAACAAAAAAGACAGCCATACATAGAAATTCAAATGTTCCAAATTCATGGTCAGAAGAAGAAGAAGCTTTTCATGTACCTTTCCTCTTCCGTCCGTTGCTCTCTCTGGCTCTGAGGAGTTACAGCCTACCGTTCATCGACGACGATGAACAATTCCGACGTTCATAGGAGAGGTTCTAATGTTTCTTGACTGAGTGTATGTTAGCTGGTGCAGTCCATCTGATTTCTTCTTTCGTCGACCTTGCTGAGACAAGCGCGAATGATAGGCTAAGATGGCGAGGTCGTTAAGGTCCTGTAATGGAATGAGAAACTTGACAACTTCATCCATGGTGGGACGAGATTTTGGATCCCTACTGATGCAGTGAGAAGCTAGTTTAGAGATTTTCTGAACCCCCTGGATGGAGTAGTTGAGCTCCAAGCGAGGATCCACTATGTGGTAAAGCTTCCTTTTGTCTTCTAAATATGGCCTAGCCCACGACACTAGATTCTGCTCACCACTGGGACGTTTCTTGTCCATCGACCTCCTCCCAGTTAAAATCTCGAGTAGGACGACGCCAAAGCTATAGACATCACTCTTTGACGTCAAATGTCCTAAAAATGGTCAGGAGCCAAAGAGATACAGATTGTTAAATACCAATCCTTCCAGTATAAGTTAAATTATGTGCAGAATCAAAACACTCACAAGTAAAATATAGGAGTATGTTTATATTGTTTTACCTCGACTATTCTAATGAGACCGTCGTCTCACTCTACTATATTTGATTGTCAAAGTAACTCATAAAACGTTAAATCCGAAATAATAGGTAGTTACCGTACATTAACCCATTTGTAACTATTTGATTTTTGAAAATGGTGTTATTTTGCTCCTCTTTTTCGCAAAATGATTTTAATTCTTAGCCAAATTTCAAAAACAAAAACAATTTTTTTTAGTTTTCAAAATTTGGCTTCGTTTTTAAAAACATTTACGAACTAGATAACAAAATGAAGAAAAGTCATAGGTGTAACCAAGAACCAAAAATCAAATGGTTATTAAACATGGCCTTTAATTTTAAAAAAATAAATAAATAGAATTCCTCACCAGTCATTAGATATTCTGGTGCAGCATAGCCATATGTTCCAACTACTCTAGTGGAAACGTGTGT